GCAGCACCTAGTTTTGTTCCATTCTGTGGGAGACATTCTTTCATCCTTTGCCATTTATAGAGCTTGCCTGCCCACGATGAAGTTCTAGCCCCGCACGAAAAGAGTGTCAGTGGAAGAAGAGTGATAGAATATCACAGGCAGCTTTGTCAGTCAACATACCTAGAAAACAAACACTTCCCCAGGACACAGGGAGCTGCTTGTCAGTGTTCTGGGAGGTGATAATTGAGTGACAGATAGTGCTGCTATTTGTGTGTCAGGTGGGATTGTCCTTTTGGTGTCCCCCCCATCTCTCCTTTGTTTGACAAAGCAGAGATGTTGCTTGGTCATGTTACAGGTCTGCTTTGCACTGGAACAGCATTTAGTTGTGGCTGCTCTAGGAGGAATCTAAACACAAGGTGTGGAGCTGTTGCCATCTGCCCTGGAGCTCCAGCAGCAGGAGGCATAGCAAGGAGTCTTGTAGGACTGTAGTCAAAGAAGACAGCAGTAACCATTAGGTTTCTTGCTAGGAAGGAGATCAGGTTACTCTGTGTTCTTGGTCCTTGTAGCAGACCTCCTCTTGCAAGGTCTCATGCCGTGTCTCAGCCGAGCTGTCGTGGGCATATAGCATGACTGAAAAGAGGGAAGCATGAACTGGGGTTGGAACTGTCAAACTGCTGGAAGGAAGACAAAACCAGTTTGTAAGAATGTGGGAAGCAAATACAACGTGAATGGGGGACCCATCCCAGACAAAGGTATGAGGGAAGGCAGCCCAAGGAGAGCTGGATGGGTGCTGTGGGACTAGCACAGGTCAGGTATGTGTGGTGCTGAACCATGGCTGGGGTGAAGACCCTTAGGTTGATCTTTTATGTTTGGCAGTTCTTGCTGTCTCCCTGCTAGTAACATGGTCCTTTTCCTAATCTCATCCTGTTCTCTTCCCAGGACATGATCCATATTGCAGACACAAAGGTCGCCCGACGCTACGGGGACTTCTTCATCCGCCAGATCCACAAGTTTGAGGAGGTGAGGCCTGGGCAGGAGAAGCTGTGTGGCTCTGTAGGAAACATGGGGCAGCCACTGGGCTGTGCAGGCCCTCGAGGGTCCACACTTGTGTAAGACAGCTGTGTAATTCCATGCTGGACTTAGCTCTGGCTCTACAAGGCACTAGGCAAAGGCAGGTGTTCCAAGCAGCAGCTGCTGACCTTTGAGGAATGGTATGTTTTTGTGAGAAGTACTCAGTTGAGCCACAGTGGAAAAGGAGGACAGTTTTACTATTCAGGAATGCTGATTCCATTGTCTCTAGATAAATGTGTCCCTGTAAGTAACACAACCAAAACCATATCTCTAACTTCATAACTATAGCTCTAGAAAATGGCCTCAGAGATTTCTGGAGCATAGATGGCTTCAGCACTGAGCTTGGCCAAGAGGTGACATTCTGTCTCCACTCTCCCAGGGGAGGTTGTTCTGCACTGGAAACTCAGAGGGCAAAATTCTGAGATTTGGGGACTTAATAGAGGGTTGTGATACTGCTGCTACAAGTTTGCATCCTCTCTTCTCCCCACATCTTCCTCTGCTAGCTTGGAAAGGAGAGAGTTCTACTCATTCCCCTTTTGCTTGACACACTGTGAGAGCTCGAGAGCTCTCTTGTCAGACAGTTGGAGGGGAAGGAGTTAAGAGCCTTGGATAAGGTCTGCTGAGGGGAGCAGCAATGTGTATCAATCACTGTGTATTTTTCTGACCTTGGCTTTCTCTAATTCCAGCTGAACCGAACATTGAAGAAGATGGGCCAGAGACCCTAATGTGGATGCTCTGCAGGCCTGGGCAGAGAAGTGGGTGGGAGAGATTATTCTCTATGTTGAGGGAGGGGAGCTCAGAGTTCTGGCATTTCTGGAATCTCCTGTGACTCAGAAGGTATTTTGTATTTAAATATGCAGACTTGTTTGGCTCAAACTATCCTACAAAGGACAAGGCATCTAATAAATTAGTGGAATTTTCCTGATGAGCATTTGTACTCATTTATTTTTCCTCTGTATAAGAATATAACTGCATCTAGAGACATGGGCAGCTGCTCTTGGCTTGATGCTCTTGTTGGTCCATGTTGCAGGTAACAATAGAGAGCAGATCTGTTTAGGTGCTCTGTACATTCACCCTGCACAGCAAATGGGAAAGGCTGCAGAACTGATTGACAGGAAAAAATGAGCTGTTCTACAGTGTCTTCACAGGATTTTGGAAAGAGATGTAAGCTAATGCTGTTCCTTCAGCTTTTACCCCATACAGTGAATAGACCTGAGTTGTAGTTACATTCTTAGAAGGTTACTTTTTTGCCTTTCCTCCCCTCTATTTTATTTTAGTTGCTATGGAGTAGAAATGCTCCAAAGTGAATTGTCATGTTTTTAAAGGAGAGGGGAGAATTTTTGTAAACATTGAACCAATATTAACTAGCCATCTGATGAAATGTCCTTGCTGGAGGATGTGTTTTATTTCAGCAGAAGTGATGCCCGAGACCTGGCCCTTAATTTAATTGAGTTCAGTTTCTCTGGAAAACTCCCTAAGGGCCTTTAATTTATTAAAACCCTTTAAATGCAAATTTTCCCTGCTCTCCAGCTGCAAATTTGTAGTGCCTTGAAAAATGGGGAAAAAAGTTGAAAACAAGTCATGTAAAAGGGAATCAAGGACCTGCAAGTATTGTGTAAGAGAATGCAAAGAATGAATCACATCCCTCCCCAGCCTCTCTCCTTTTGCCATCTTTAAATAGTTTGCTGTTTGAGTGGTAGAAACAGGTGCAAGAGGAAAACCTGCATGTGTAATAGAAAGCTACACAAAGTGTGTTTCAGATGCACCATCTGCCTCTTTGTACCTCTCTCTCTCATTCCTTTCCAGAGAGGTGTCCTAGCTGTCCAGTTTGGCTCTGTGTGTGATTCTGTTTAAACAAAGGGAATAATTAGCCTTTGTTGCATTATATTCTGTGTTTGAATGAGGGTCAGGTTTCCAGTGTCCTAGATACTGCTCAAAAGTAAACTCTGTTTCCCATCACAAAGTAACTCGGGCAGTACAGGCAGCACAGTGAGATTAAAAGAGCAATTCCTGTTGGCTGCCTAGCTGCTGGCGTTGGTGTTATGGATGCTAGGAGCTCACTGTCTCCAGTTCTGGAGGATTTGAGGCAGCCATATCATTAAGAAATTAAAGGATTGAGATGCCACTGCATTGCAGCAGCCCATGGGGAGCTGTGTTCATATCAAGCAGAATCTGCTCCTTTTTGATTTTAGGGCTGGCACTTTTCCTTCTGTGTATTTGCTAACAGCAGCACAGTAAGCATATCAGTCAACAGCAACTGCCCTACTTTCTTTCTATCCAAAGCCCAAATCTTTCCCAGGAAGTGCTCAGGTGGATGTGATACACAACATGAGAACCCTGGCAGGTATCTCCATGATCAATTCTAGTTCATAGCATAGCAAAAAAATCCAGCGTGTTGCTGGTATTTTAATATCTGCTTGGCATGTCAGAATTACAGATTTTTTAATGCATATCTGTATCATCTGAAACACTCCAGTGGTTACAGGCTGTTCTCAGGTCTGTGAATATGCTGCTGCTTTGTTTCCATCTGCCAGAGCAGTTTCCAGAGGGTGCACAGAGCCCTTGCACTGATGTCCCTGGCTCGCCTCCCCTGCGGGACTGCCGAAGGTTAACTGAGCAGGACTGGCACTTGGTGGAATGAAGCCAGGAGGAGCTTGCAGCTCTCGCTGGGTGGAAAGATGGGCTCAGTGAGCTGCGGTGCCTGGCACTGCTGGAGGCTGGAGGAATGCAGGGTGTTCAGCAGCATCAACACAGCTCCACTGGTGCGGGGAAGGCATTCCAGAGGGAGGTGGGGGTGGCTAGAGCTCCAGCCTCGCCTGCTGCAGCAGTGTTTGGTGAGTGGAAGTGGTTGTGGACAAAATGGTTTTATCAGAGGGAACCACAGTACAGGGGCATGTGCTCTGTGTCTCTGTTTCTGACCTACAGTTGTGAAGGGGTGAGTGTAATTATGGAACCTGGAAAATTCAAGAAAATCTACCTCATCCTGCTGTCCGTTAGGATACATCAGGAAGATGCTGTCGGGTGGCTTGGGGGATGCTGAATAGCCAGCAGAGTAATTACAAGACTGACACAATGTTTCATTTCCTTTTTTGCTTACAGAGTAGTTTTTATTGTGATTTATGCCACAGCTTATCTTGGGCTGTGGGGAGATTGTACAAACCAGTCAGAGAATTTATTTTTCACTTGTTACAGTTCTGGGACCATAGAATGATAGAATGAACAGCGGAGTAGAAGAAAGAGGGTAGGTACTACTGATGAAATCTGAGTGAAGGAAGGAGTGTAGAGCCAATACAAAATAATTGCAGAGATCGTACTCTTAAAGATTTGGAACTGGCAGCAATAAGCTCAACATCAGTGTGATGGTTTGGTCTTCCACAGAGGTAGCTGTTGGAGGTGAAAAGAAGGCTAAGCCCAATAAAGTAGCCTTTAATAGTGTGCTTCCCCCCCTTGCCAAGCCATCGCCCCGAGCGTGCACACCAGCTCTCGTGACAATCCATCGCCTCGATGTTGTTCCTGAGATTGTATCGCACTCTTCCTCCGCGTCTTCCAGGGCTTCCTGTGAAGCGCTGCCTGTGACTCCAAGTGTCTTGATCTTCAAAGCTCTCCTTGGCCCTGAGCCTACCCTGGGAGCCATCTACGTCCCAGATGTACTCCACTGCTTGTGCCCCTAGGACTGCTGAGAGCTGCTTCTGCCTGGAGCAGCCTCTGTCTAAGCCTGAGAGGGTTTCAGAAATCAGGCTGCCGAGTGGTTTTTAATCTAGCTGAATTTAAGTTGTGTTCAGGCCCAGCTCTTTCCCCGAGGTGGCAGAGGGAGCTCCCCCCCGCAGGCCGCCCTGCTCCCCGGGAAGCGCCGAGCCCGGGGCCGCGGGAGCTTCCGCGGCGTGCCCGGGCCCCGCCCCCGAGCCCCGCCCCGGGAGGCCCCGCCCGGCCCGGGCTGGCGGCGGCGGCGGCGCTGGGAGCGGCCGCCCCGATGTCGGGTCCGCGGGGCGCCCTGCAAGCCTGGTGCCGCCGGCAGTGCGAGGGCTACCGCGGCGTGGAGATCCGCGACCTCAGCACCTCGTTCCGCGACGGACTGGCCTTCTGCGCCATCCTGCACCGCCACCGGCCCGACCTCCTGTGAGTGCAGGCCGCGCCTCGCCGCCGCTCGGACGGGGCGCCGCGGGGCCACGGCTGCCGCCCGCGGGCGCTGCTGGCAGGAGGAGCGGGGGGCGCGGAGGTTTGGGGCGCGGGGCCCCGGGACCCCCCTTTCTGAAGGGGTTAGGCCGCCTGTGCTCAGCAGCGATCACGGGGGGACTCACAGGGGTTTGGGGGGATGGAGGAGCTGTGGGAAGCGGCTCCAGGCTGGCTGGCAGGGAAGCTCCCTGAGCGAGGGGACGTGAGGGGCTCGGGGAGCGGATGTGTCTCTGTTGCGCTGATGTGCTGGTGGGGGATGCACTGAAGAAGATGCTGTCGAGAAATAGTTGGGTACTGGGAATGAAGAATTCCATATTCCCAGGCAGTGCTCAAAGCCAGATTGTATGGAGCTCTGAGCATCTTGGTCCAGTGGAAGGTTTCCCTGCCCATGGCAGCAGGGGTGATCATTCAGGTCCCTTGCAAGCCAAACTATTCTATCACTCTGTGTTTCAGCAAACGACCTTCTGACCTGGTCCTGAAGACCTGTCAAGGTCAGGGTTAGCAGAAGTCGTGCATTATAAGGGTGGTGAGAGCACGGAGGTGGACTAGGTCCATGTGCCCTAATGGGAGCGGTGCCTACCGGAGAAGAGACGTGGTGTTGGTATCTGGGTGTGGGGGTGTTTTGCTTCAGCAAGAGGTGAGCTTTCACACTTCAGGAGGGCCAGAGGCCTGTCCTGCACAGGGACATTCCCACAGGCAGCCACCCTGAAATCTGTAGAGGCCTGGACCAGGTTGCTGCTTGCATTTACTTCTAGCTTGTTTTCTCTGGATGCCACGGTGAAAGCAGGAGGCAGCAAAAGCCAGCAGGGGTGTTGAGCCTCTCTAGCCTCCCCCAGCTTGGGTATCTCTGGGGGGGGAAAGTGATTTTCAGGAGGCAGACAGTGAGTTTGGGATTGCTTGGGGGCGCCGTGTCAGACTGGAGAAACTGGCTGGGCCGCTGGCAGGAATCTGCCCCGACCTGCGCTGTAACCCTGTGTGCCGGCGGTGCTGGTGCTGGGAATGCGGCGCCCATCTGCTCTGATCCCTGCAGGAGCCTTGCAGGGCAGGTAGGCATCGCCCCAGCTCGCTGCGCCTGCGGCGTGCACGCGCTCCTTGGCCTGCCCTAAAGCCGGCCGGGGTGGTGTGTCCTGTCACGTTCTGCTCTGGGGTTGGTGGTTCTTCCTCTGAGGCTGCCCATACTGGCCAAGTTCTCTTTCCTGAGCTGGCCTCAGGAAGGCCTTTTGCCATGACAGCAACCTCTGTCAGGCAGAGGGTTGGCTGTGAGTCCTGTGGAGCTGTGGTGTCCATGAGAGAGTGGAACAGGCCGGTGTCCTTTACGAGCTAAGGCTGAGCAGGTAGGCTGGAAACTGAACTGCTGCCTGCTGTGTTTCAGGTGGTTGCCCCAAAACCCTCAGCATGGTGTTCTGGAATGAGTGAGAGCCAAGACATACGGTGTCTTTGCATCAATCTCTGGGTCTTGAAGGAGCTGTGTGGTCTTGTGTCCTGCAGCTCTTGGATGGTATGGCTCACTCTGACTAGCTAGAATGGAGCCTCTGAAAATGGTCCCAGTGACAAGGCTGTTGGGTGGGAAGAGGCAAATTAAGGACTAGAACACGTGCAATTATTATATTTTTTTGTAAATGGCACAGCAGCTGGGAACTGAAAAGCAGAGGTTCAGTAATAGCTTATGATAAGCACCACTAAAACCACCTGATGGTTTCCCATTAACCACATTTGCCATCCCATTAAGGCAGAGGCTGGTGCTCTTAAGTTGTCAGTGGGCTTAAATCTGCTCCTGGCAGATGTCCTAACTACGTGCTTCACAGGTCCTCTGCACGAGCTGCATTGTGGAGACAAGGCCCAGGGCCTTACAAGGACATGGCATGTTGTGGAAGGATTTTCAGACCGTCAGGAGAGCAGCATCATTTCATCTGATTCCAGCTTCTTCAGCCTGTCCCAATTTGGAAGTGGGAAGATTGGATCAGAGGCAGTAAATCTCCTGACGGCAGAGGAAAAGTGGTTGCCCTTCTTTTCTTCTAAAGTGCTTTCAGTCAGTGCAGTAATGGGACTTGGCAGGGATCTGCAGTGCCTTTCTGACCTGTGTGGAGCCCCCTTTGTGCGGGGCTCTCCTGGCCCGTACAGACAGCTGTGCTGCTCCCCAAGGCTGGGGTTCCTCTGAGCTCCACAGAACTGCCAGTTCCTCTGCTTCCCTGCTTCCTGCTGCCTTCCCCTGGGATTGCAGAGAGGAGCAATGGGCACATCCATAGGAGAGCTGAGCTGAAGCTCTTCTCTGCCTGTGTGACACCACTCCTCTGCCACCCTGATCCCCTGGGCAACGCTGCTGTGGTGGCTGTCAGCCTATCCCTGTTTTCTGACCTTGCCTGGATGCACCCCTGTTGTGCTGCTGTGCTGGGAGGGAGCACATGAGGAAGGGGCTGTCATGAAGGACCACATGGGTAAGTGAGACTGAGGACAGTTTTCTGCATGACTCCTGGTTTGAACACAATTATTGTGGAATAAGGCAAATTGGTGCTGCCCTGGAGAGCTTTGGAGCAGCTACTGCAGAGCTCTTGGAAACACTATAAATTTGGGCTTTTTGAAAGAAGTAGACTGGAATTCCTCAGTGTCTACTGAATAAAGGTATCTTGAAGTGACCAAGAACGAGGTGCACACCTCCAGGACCTGTGTGTTGAACCATGCAGATAAAAATCCCTGACTCCATTGTTGTAGGCACTTCACTTGGCTTTGTTACCTCGCTGTCCCAGTCAGGGAAATGGGAAACTTGGATTTAGCCTCTGACTGTGCTGCTGGCTGTGTGATCTGGAGATGAGACATTTAATCTCTTCTCTTCCCTTTTCAGTTAAGCTGTCAACAGCCAGACCAACTTGACGGTGGACTGTGAGGATTAATGAGTTTGTTTGCTCAGTGCTCTAGAAATCTGAAGCATGAAATTAGTGTTTACAAGGCATTTGCTACAGATTAATGAAGCAAAGAGCATCTTTCAGCATCTCAAGCTGTACAGCCTCCCTGCCATGCAGGGAAGGATCTTGGCATTCGGGGGTTAGAAGAATAAAGGAGTATGGCACATGCCTTTGGAGTGTGGGGAGAGATGGAGGCTTGAGGATAACAGGAGATGAGAGCTGTTTTAGAAACACTGTTTTGTGTCCCTGGAGCCGTGGCTTTGGTTACAGGCAGGATCACAAATCTTGTTTGTTCCTTCCCATGTACTGCCTGCATTTCCCTGACAAGACCTGGAAAGCTGAATGGCTTATTATGTGGCACAGCCTTAAAGTGCTCATGATTTATATTTGAGGAATCCAGGAATTTGCTCTGGTTTTAGCTGTACAGCACACCCTCCCCCCTTCCCTGGATCTGCTGTTCTCCCTGGCAGCTGCCCTAAACCCTGGAGTGCTTAGTGGCTCTGCATGTATCTAATTAGGTAAGTGCTTGGGATGTTATTTGCATAGAAATATTACTCTGGGATATGGTACAACACTGGGGTTTGCTGAGTCAAGGCAGTTGTTCAGCTGGGATAGCCAGAGTCTTGCCTGTTCTTACATCCAGTCCCCTGGATGGGTATGTTGGCAGGAGAGGAGCCTGAGCAGAGCTGGATGAAAGACTGCTGAGATCAGGGCAAGGTGACATGCAGCCACATGTCACAGAGCTGCGAGATGGCAAGTTCTGGGCTCTCTGCAGAGGAGTCAGTTTATAGAGGGGAAAGGGGTGTGTCTGGAGTGACTTTTCCCCATTCCTGAGAGGCCATGCTCCTTGCACATTGGTGCTGGGAGCTTGCCTGGAGCCACAGGGATGGCACGTGACCAAATGGCATACGGGAGTGCTCATGTCAGGAGCAACCCAGGGCAGTGTGGTCCTGCTTGGCTTCTCAGAGAGGGAGCTGGAAAATGCAGTGGAGGGGAACGGAATAAACTGATCCCTGGGGCCATGTACTGATGGACTTCAACGTCTCAGATAAAGCTGAGTCTGCAATCCTACAGTAATGGAAAAGAATCTTCTATTCCCTTGCTGCTTGGTAACCCCTTGATACCTCTTGAGCTTCACATCCTCTCTGCTGGCATCTGCTTTTCCTAATGGAGTTGCCTTGGTATACTAAAACAGCTTTGGTTTGCTGGGGCAGAGTGGAATGGACACGATGTTTTGTCTGTCAGAAAATACTCTCCCAGCCCAGCCCACCAAGGAGTCTTTGAGCTTCCAGCTACACCACTCCCATATCCTGAAAGTGAAGGCATTCAAAATGGAGGTCATGAACGTTTAGAGGGCAGTTGATATATAACTTTGCTGTCATTGCTTCTCCTCTGTTCCAAGTTGACATTTTCTTTAAAAAGAAAAAAAAATACTGCAAGGTTAAAGGACTTCTCTTGGCAAAAACAAAACAAAAACTTAGGGAAAAAACATCTCCCAGTGGAGACTAGTTATAATTACAAAAATGGCAGTGGTTTTGACATTAAAGCATAGGCTGCAGCTGAAACTTTTGCTGACCAGCATGTAGAGAAGAAAAAGTTGTGGTATTTTGAGCAGCCTGAGCTGTGTACATGTATTTGCATGAGCTTTCAGGAAGGTACCAGAGCTGGACATCCAGCTCACCTTTCTGTGTCTCTGCTGCATTTGCTCCTGCAGCAGTGCGTGGCTGCAGCTTCGTTTGTCTGTGAGGAAACGGCACCAGCAGCCTCTTGCTTTTGAAGGGAGGAAGTGTAAGTTTCTGGTGGGGTAGGCAGCCTGGAAAACCTTCCTGAGCTCATCGCACACTTCCTCTGCAGCTTTGGGAAAGCTGCATGAGGGGCTTTGAGCAGGGGCTGGCTGCCCTGCTGTGGGGCACCAGGACAGGTTGTGTTCCAGGAAAAGGCAGTAAAATCCAGAGGAGGATGGAGAAAGGAGGTTCATGCAGCCCCTCTCTGCAGGTGCGTGGTGCCGCCTCACCTGGATCCTGCACACCACCTTCGGGGTGGGGAATGCATTCCCTCCTCTAGTCTGAATTGTCCTTCTGTGTCGGTCTCCCAAGCTTTGGTCTTTGTGGTCCATTGGGGTGGCTTTGCTTGACCCTAGACCTCTCTGGAGTGCATCCTCCCGTGAATCCAGCTAGCAGGCACACCAGGCTGCTGCAGGAGGAGTTTTTTTGTATCAAAGCTGAGGTCCTTGGCAGGAAGGAGCTGTAAGCAGTGCAGCATGATGCTGTTTTCACACATTGTACCCACACACGCACATGCAAAAGGCATAACTAACTCCTTCCTGCATTTCTCCCCCTCTTTTGAAAGCCTGCAGACTGCTTTAACTTTTTGTCCCTCTGCCTCCCTGGTGAAGGCAGCTAATCAGTCCCTATGGCCATGCTGCACCCCCAAAGGGCTCCAGGGGAACAAGTGAAATGGGTTGGAGCAAATGGATCCCCTGGGTTGGAGACTTCTGGGATTCCTCTGTGTGCCCTGAACACCTTGCATTCAGCTCCAAGGGCTGCAGCTGAGGACTGTTTGTTGTGCACTGTGAATGTTTGGGGAAAAGCAAGGACAGAAGTGCAGTTGAAGATCTTCTGTGTCACCCCAGATTCCTTAAGGTGGTGCAGGGAGGTTTATGTAAGGATCCTCATAGAGCCACCTGTATCTGTCCCTTCTTTCTCTTGAGGTGAGGGATCTGTGTCCCCATCCACCACTGTTGTGCCAGTGGCCTTGGAAAAGCAAGTTTGGGGTCATGTCGTGCAGTGTTTGGTGCAGCAGTGTGTGGTGCTAATTGAGACACGGCCCTGGTGTTTCTGCAGCCTTTAATCTCAAGGGCAGAAGTGGGTAACGAGAGACAAGAATGACATTTTAGTTTCCTGGTCACCACCCATTTGGGACTCGCTTTCTTTTTTTAATTGCAATTTCCCTTTGGTTTCCTTGTCCTGTTACAACCTGAAATCTGCTTTGCCAAGGTTTTGTTTATCTAGGATCTTAGGTGTTGAGTTGTTGTAAAGTTGACTGTCCTTGGAATCTACGTGTGATGGCATAGGGGCACTTTTCCTCTGCACTTCATGTGGCTATTTTGTGCTTTCTCATTTCAGAGACTTTGATTCTCTCTCCAAGGATGACGTCTATGAGAATAATCGCTTGGTAAGTTCCTGTTCTGCAGTGCACAGAAGGAAGAAATTATGTGAGAATGACTTGATGGAGGTCATGTAGTGTGGGAGGAATTTGTGACAGTGCTGAGGGTATAAGAAAAATCTGTGTTTGTAAGTAATAGGCAGGAGCTTCTCTGAAAACAAGGGAATCTGAAACATCAGCTTCCAGCCTGTTTATCCTAATAGTTGCCAAGACAACATCTCAGGTGAAGATTTAAATGGTGCAACATCTTGATTTCACTTGTTCCAGATTTGTAAGCAGTGGAAGCAGGAAGCTAGTTTTACTTCAGGCATCAGCAGAGAGAAAGGTCATGCTAGACCCTGGTCTGCAGTGTTCCCTTCCTGCTTGGGACGGCTGGAGCCCATAGCAGGAGCAGGCAGTGTGGAATGGGGAGGTGCCCAGCCCCAGGGGCTAGTGGTAGGACAGAGCAGCAATAGCCCTGCCTTTTTTAAATGACAGAAAGACCTAGTTGCTCCATCTGATAGTCTGTGGAAAGGCATGGCCCATCACCTGCCCAAGATGGGTTATGCTACATACAAATATCTCAAGGGTGGATGTCAAGGATGAGGCCAGACTCTTCAGTGGTGCCCAGCAACAGCAGAAGGGGCAATGGGTACAAACTGAATTACAGGAATTTCTCAGCTGAATTTGAGGAAAAACATTTTTTACTGTGAGGGGGACAGAGCACTGGACTAGGCTGTCCAGAGAGGAGGTGGAGTCTCTTGCTCTGGGGATGTTTAAACCCCAGCTGGATGTGATTTTGTGTCACCTTCTTTAGCAGGGGTTTGGACTGGATGATGTCTGAGGTCTCTTTCAACCCCGGCCATTCTGTAATTCTGTGATTTGGGATTTACAGGATTAGGGCTGTCCAGCTGTGTCCTGGCACGTCCTTTCCTACACCAGTTGGCCCCTTTCAGTCATTAGCAGCTTTTTCCATTCAAGACCCATACAATGGGTATCTTGTCCTATTAGAGACCTCTCAGGTGGGGTCTGTCTTCTCTCCTTGCTCCTTGCTGCCTTGTGTTGAGTAAGACTCAGTCTGGACAACTGACTTAAAGCCAGGCTGAGCAAAGCAGGATGTCCATGGGGGGGCACTTTTATGCCCCTAGTTACTGCAAATATCTATTTTCTTTTGTTTCTCCATTACTTTCCTTTATAACTCACACCCTGCACAGCACCTCATGCCCCAGAGACTAGGCACCTTCAGTCTTTACCCACACCCAGTACCTTTACCTGTGCACCTGGTACCTCATCATTCAGTGCCCAAACCACTCTCATCTCTTCCTGACTTATTTTTCTTCAGTCCCTACCACAGTCTTGCACCCCAGTCCCTAGGAGATCACTGTGGGTACTCTGCCCTTGGCTCGGCAGAGGGATGGTCAGTGTAGAGACAGTAATCCACACACACTGACAAGTGGGAAACTCTCCAAAGCTTTTTTTTCTCTTCCATTCCTTCCTTTTGTAGCTGTGTGTGCAGTTGGAGGAGATGGGTGCTTCTTATCACAGTGTCCTTGTTTCTGCTTGCTCAGACACAGAAAAGTACTGGAAGTATTGGCTTGTGCACGGCAGGGTACTGGATGTTGAGCTGGGATGGCTCTGCTGATCGTGGGAGGGGAAGGTGGGGCACCCCAGAGCATGAAAGGATGGGCAGTCAGTGTTTCTGTGGGGTGAGCATTTGGGGTGGCTGGGGACACTGCTCAGTAGAGCTCAGTGTCACTGCAAGTACCTGCCAGCCCTTGGCCCTTTGTGGTGCCAGCCAAGACTCTGCCAGGCTCTTGCATGAGGGCACTGCTGGTTGAGCTGGAAAAACACTGGGTTTTTTCCGTGAAAACTTGAAGGGAACCTTGCTTCTGTTGCTACTTTCTCTAGTCAGGCAGCATGTCTGGAAGCCTCTGTCCATAAGGGATGGCATAGGCTCAGTATTTAACCTTCCCTGGGGCCCTTCCAATTTGATATTTCTGTTACTTTTCATGAAGCATCAGTTTTCTTCCCTTAGTGCCTCTGTTGTTCCTGCAGGCCTTTGAGCTGGCAGAGCGGGAGCTGGGCATCCCAGCCCTGCTGGATCCCAATGACATGGTCTCCATGAAGGTGCCCGACTGCCTCAGCATCATGACTTATGTGTCTCAGTACTACAACCATTTCAACAGCCCCAGCCAAGGTGAGTGTCCTCCCAACCCTCCAGTTTGCCCCTGTTTGAGTGCGGGAAACCCAGCACAGCCTTGTGCTGCCTCCTTCCTGTGGCAACGGGGAGCTGTGTTTGTGGGGAAGGGGAGAGGAGCAGGTAGTACCTGCCTCTCCTGCATCTTGCTGGTGCCCCTGAGGAGGGCCTGGAAGAGAGAGTGCACTGGGGTGAGGTTTCACAGGAGGTGTGGGGTGATGTAATAGCTCAGGCTGTGGAAAAAGCAACGCCTTTCTCCTCCCTCTGCACTGCATTCCTGCCAACTTGGGTTGGGCCACCACCCCTGGTGCTCGTCAAAACCCTTTGTGATCTGCTCTAACCTACTAAAATAGGAGAAAACGAAGTAGGAGCCCATCTCCCACAGCTAATCTTTATGACATGAGTACGTGTGAAATGACTGGAGAACAGAGGGAGTGGAGCCAGGCTGGAATGTTTCAAATCAGCTCATCTGTCCCTACAACTGCACCCTGAGCTGAGTGCTTTGAGACAGCTCTTCCCAGGCATCCTTTGGCTGGGTGGAGATGAGAGCTCCAGGTCTCCCCTGTTTCAGTCTGTAGCCACAACATCAGATAAATCTCTTCCACTTGTATATGCTTCTCCAGGGATGCTGGTCTCCCAGACAAGGAATCCTGCTGGGGACTGGTGTGTGAGCTCCAGCCCCAACAGCAAGAGATGCTTCACAGACCTGCTGACAGCCTGGGAGCCCTGGGGCCCAGTGGGTCACCACAGTACATCAGCAGCTGCCCCAGCTGCTCTGGCCTTTGAGTGTTGCTTAGGGAGTCAATTACAAGGAAGCCAAGTAGCATGTGATGAGTAAATAAAATCACAGTGAGAGGCTGGCATCCCTGGGCCACAGAAGGGGATCCACAGCAGGCCAGGATCTCTGGCAGCCTCACAGCTGACCCATTATTAGACTGTGTTTGTCTCTTCCACCTAAAATAAGCACTGAAGTTTTGGGAGAGGCAGGTCTCATCCTATGTCACAAGGCTGGATGATTTTATTTTTTTTCCCCTCCCCTTCCCGCACACGGGTGGTGTGAGTCACCGCTGCTCTCCACGCCTGATCCTCCTTCCCTCTTGCCTCCAGCCAGCGTCCCTCCGCCTATGAAGCGACCAAGTGCTGCCTCCTCTCCTCCTCTGCTGTCCCACAAGACCCCTGTGGCTGCCGCTGAGAGTCCTTCAGCACCACAGGTACCTGATTTCTTGGTAAAGTTTCCAAGACAGCCTGAGGCAGTGGTACCCCCTGTGCTGTGGGTGAGGAGATGGGGAAAAGCCTGTCACAGAGCCATGTAGGGGCCTGCCTGTGTATTTTGGGAGGGGTGTTTGGGATTTTGTTTCCTTGTGAGATCTGACTCGGACTGATTTTTCTCAGAGTCTGTGGACACTAGTTTGTCCATAGCAGGCAAGAGGTTGGGCAGATTGGTGCTGGGTGTCCTTCCTATGTGGGGATAACCCTGTAGATGAGGAAAGAGCAGGAATGTAGGACTAGAAGGGCAGAAAAGATGCCTTTTTTTCAGTTTTTAGCAGTTGTCTGGGATGGGACCTTTTTCAATGTTTCGCAGGACCCTGGTACATGGGGTGTAGATTAGTCCCTTCCACAGCGCTTCAGCTGTAGATAGGGCCAAGGCACCTTTGGAAGTGGCCCCTTCTAATTTGGGAAGAGGCAGCCTGCCTGTGCCTGGGCTTGAGGGCAGCTGTTGTGTGCATTGTCAGCCCCTGAGGTCAGCCCCTGAGGCGCGGGCCGTGCCCAGAGAGCAGCTGCTGTGGGGAGCAGGCCGTGGCCCCGCGCTGAGCCCTGTGCTGTGTCCCAGGAGGAAGGCCCCTCGGAGCAGCGGCCCCAGCGCAGCGCACCCAGCAGCACCTGCGCAGCCTGCCAGCAGCACGTCCACCTGGTGCAGCGCTACCTGGCCGAGGGCAAGCTCTACCACCGCCAGTGCTTCAGGTAGGTCGTGGCCAGGCCTGCCGGGGCAGCCTCGCCTCGGCACACGGGGGGTCTGGGGCCTGCTGCACCCCATCTTCGAGTGTCTGCGTCCCTGGGCACCATGGAACATGAACAACAGTGCTTGAAATGAGAGTGAAGGTGTTCCATTTGCCTGCCAGCCCCATGTCTCAGTGCTCTGACTGGCCCCTTGTGTCCCTTTGCTCCATTCCTATCCTGCTCCCTGCCTCCCTTGTTGACTTGTGCTCTCCCACTTCATTTACTTGGAATCCCAGCCTCTTGAGCTTCTCCCACCTCCATAAAAAAGGATGCTCTACCTCTTTGCCACCTCTCTACTCAGGACCACCCCCCATCCCCTTCAATTGAGGTCTGAGCCATGACATCATCCTACAGACCTCCTTCCACCTACACTCCACATCCTCAACTGGATATACAGGCTTCCATGCTGCCTGGGTGGTGCTGAGCTCCCAGGGAGTATGTGGAGAGCTGCAGACTCTTAACAAACTGAGCAGTGAGCAGCTCTCTGGTTACTCCCTGAGTACAGGTTCTTACCTGCAGCACCTGTGAAATAATTTCACTTTGCTTTCCCTGCTGTGATGATGAAGAAATGAGATCTCTCCCATGGGCCACAGGACAGGGGTTGGCATGTGGTCAGAAACATGGAGCCACTGGGTAGATGTGGGAGGCCTCATTCACCTGCCTAAGCCAGTTGGCAATGTGCTGTAGAAACAGTGTCACAGGAGGGCAGCTGAGCTGAGGTCCATCAGGCTTCCCATCTGCAGCTGGGACAAAAGCAGGAGTTTTGGGGTGCAGGTGCAACCTGCACTGTCCTTATGGGCCAGGAAGAGGAGAGGTGCCATGTCTGCCGTGGCACAGCTCATAGCCCTTCAGACTGAGCAGGGAGATCCCTGTAATTTAATCCCAAATATTTTGCCTCCTGATTGTTTTCTTGTCTATTTTCTGTTTTGTTTTGTTTTGTTTTGTTTTGTTTTTTTTTTTCTTCCTGTGCTGATTCATGGACAGTATTTGGTCAGAAATGTCCTGTGGCAGTGGTTCCTGTGGGCTGATGGAGATAAACCCAAAGCAAAGCACTTTCTCCCCTTGTCTGAGCTTTCCACCTCCTCATTTCATCCTACCCCTTCTCTCTAGAGTCCCTATGTCCTCACACTTCTGCTCTCCATTTTAAAGGAAATCCCTGTCAACTGGATGCCCAGAGCAGAATTCCATGCCACAATTATCTGCTGGCAGCGTAGGGCAGCCAGCTGCTGCAAGCACCAGGCATTCAGACAAGAAGGAACAAGCTTGGTTTTCATGGGAGTGCTTGATCAGCCCCTTGCCTTTGGCTGTCTTTCATGTATGCTATCCACCTCCCTTCCCAGGTGGAGGACTCACTTGGTTGCCAGTGCTTTGTATCACGCTTGTGCCTGGAGGGATTCATTAGGAAGCATTCAGAGGCTCAGTGGGGGAAGAGTGGATGATCCAGGGAGATGTGGCAGACAGCAAAGGACAGGGAAGCTACTAGCCCAATTTCAACAGGCAAGGCAGAGTGTAAGAATGGCCCTGCTGCCTAAGGCCCTTGTCCTTCTAGGCAAATGCTGTGGCCCAGCTGGATGCCATGGTCAGCATTACTGAGGCTGAGCATGAGACCAGGCCAGGCTTGTGTGTTCCTTCTCCTGAATGCTCTGGAAGCCTCCAATGCAGGAATTTCCCGAGTAGAAATTGATGTAATTTTATTTAATAATCAGCATTGAGGAGCAGTTGTTTTACAAACAAATGTGGCTGATGGCTCTTTAATGTGCCAGGACCCTTGGGCCCTGCAAGGCAGCCTGTAGCCTCCCTGTGCCAGTTCTGAACCAGTTGCTCCCTAATTCCAGTTGATATTCACTGTTTCATGTCTGAATGGTTGATCCCTCTCCCCATTCCATGTGTGGAAACCACACCATATCCCAATACCAACTGTCACCCTTCCACATCTGTTAAATCCTTTCTGAGATGAAGGAAGAACCCAAATGTGTGCAGCATTTGAGTTGTGAACTTGCCATGGGTTCCTACAGTGGCCCTGGTTACATTTCTCTACTTATTTTCTGAGTTACTTCCCCAAGGGCACTCTAGGATTTAATAGCAGGGGTAAGAACTAACTCCATGTCCCTACAAGGGTCTTCCAGGTGTGTTTCCTTCTGTGAAGGGCAGGATGGCATCCCCATCTCATGGTGCTCTCTCTTCTCCTTGGCAGGTGTAAGGAATGCTCCAGCACGCTGCTCCCGGGGTCATACAAGCCTGGGTCAGAGGCAGGGACTTTTGTCTGCACGCAGCATCGTGGTAAATTGGCCGTGAGCGGGAAGGCAGAGAGGAGACCCAGCCTGGACCGACAGTCACCAGAGCTAAGAACTGAGACTGGGGCTGACAGCATGGGAGAGAATGCCCTCCAGGCAGGAGCAGAGGTGGGGAAGGATGATGCTGTCTCCCAGGAGAGTGTGGCAGAGACCTCTACGCGTGCAGAGGGCCTTGCTGGCCCAGCAGAGAAGGACAGCACAGCCAGTAAAGCAGAGACACCGACAGCCCCTGCTCATGCTAGCAGTGGGGCACCTGTCTCCCAAACTCCCCCCAGGCCTCCAATCCCCAGCAAGCCTGCAGGGCTCACCCAGGACAAAGACAGCTCGCTGGATGGACGGCTCAGAGACTCACGTCCCACCCCAGCCCCAAGGAAGGCCACCGATGCGTCTGCCCTGTCCCTTCCAGCCTCCCACCCTGTCCCCCGGCCCAGGTCCACCCTGCAGGGCGAGGGCAGCGAGTGTGGGCCTGGCATGGTGAACGGTAAGAGGGCAGGGTGGTGCCAGGAGTTACCCTCCACATCTCAGTGCCTGAGGTGCTTGACTGCAGGTTGGCTGAGTTCCCTTACTTCTCTGCACCCTGACACTCTTCTGCCTCCCAATAAATCTTGGGCTCAGACACCAGGTCTTTGATTGTCAACAATTGCCAGCCATCCCCATAGCAAGGAGAGCAGAACTAATTTTCCTGCCTGTCTGCTCCCTTTTACTTCTCCAGAGTTCTCCAAAGGCAGCAAGCCAGAGTGGAGGGAAGTTGGTAGAGCTGGAGGAGTTTGCAGGTGTGGGAACAGAGGGGCATGTCAGTTCTCCAGGTGCAGCTCCCAGGGAGAAGTGGGGAGAAAAAGGCAAAGGGGATGTTTGGGGTTAGCTGGCTACATCAACTGTGGGAGAAATGACATGGGGTCTTTTGGGAATGGGAATAGCCACCTTCCTGTGGGAAGGTATCTAAGGTGCATCCTGTTGGTTTAACCTCTTTCTTCATGTCCTTTTGGTGTTGTGACAGTCTGACTCTTATGTCTTTCTAGGTCGGGTACCTGAAACCAGCCCCCCTGTCCCAAAACCTCGAGGGAGACCCTGCTCCTCTGATCGGTACGTCCCTCTGCTTGCAGGTCACCTGAGAGCTCCATAGCAAGGTGGGGCTGTGGGGACAGCACAGCTGTGCTTTTCTCTCTCACCTCCATCAGCTCCTGCTCTTAGGAGCATGTAGGGTTTGACCAGGTTCCTTTTCCAATAGGAGCTAGCCCAGCATGGCCAGGCTGACAGTGTTCATCCTTACCTCCCAGGCATTCTTCTCTTATTGTAAGGAGTTTGAGAGCTTAGAAAGGTGTTTCTGTGGCACAGGCAGATTGCCAAATGCCTTCTGAAATGGCCCTGCTTGTGGGTGCTGAGAAGGGGACATTTTCTGCTTTGTGGAGAGTTTGTCCTGGGAAAGGTGGGAAGACCAGCTATGCTCATAAAGCTCAGCCTTTACCACTGCTTAGCAGATGGAGACTGTAATATTCAGACACCAAAACACTGGGCCCAGCAGGCAAGTCAGGCAGGCTGTGTTTCCCTAAGGCCTGTGGGTTTGCCCACAGGGAGTGAGACACTGTATCTGGGAAAGCCTAGGGACGTCCTTGGGTGAGAAAGCTGCTTCTGCATGGGAGACATCCTGCTCCATTTTTCCTTTCCCCCAAGGGCAAAGTCTCTCTCCAGTGCCTTGCCACCCCACCTTGTCTCTGCCATGTTGATTTCTCTTTCTCTTCTACTAGTGGTGGAGCTACTGCAAGAGCCAAGGACCCGCCGTGGATGGCCTTGGTGCAAGCAGAGCCCAAGAAGAAGCCAGCTCCCCCTCCTCCCCCAGGCAACAGCCATGAGACTCCAAGTAGGACTTCAGAGGAAGAGGATGGGGAGGAGGTGGGCAAAGCCAGGAGTGAGGAGAGCAGGTCTGATACCACAGAGCCCAAACCCTACAACCCCTTTGAGGAAGAGGATGAGGAGGAAGTGGAAAGTGCTGACACCAAAAAGAGCACACCTGAGCAGGAGCAGAGCGAGACAGCCGCCAAACCTCTCCACCCCTGGTATGGCATCACTCCTACCAGCAGTCCAAAGGCAAAGAAGCGGCCAGCTCCACGGGCCCCCAATGCTTCCCCGCTAGGTGAGCTTCCTCCCACTCCTTTATCCCTCCTCTGCAGCCCCTGTGCATCCCCTTGGAGGTTCCCCCTTCCCAGGTGCCTCTGCATCACCCTGGCAGGCCAGGCCTTTATGCAGTGATGGTTGCATTAGTTTGCATTAGCCATGTCCTCTCTACCCAGTGGAGCACAGCATCTGCAGGCAAGATTTTACGCTGACCCTTGTGTCCAGTGTATGCCACCCTCCCCTTGTGTCCTGGCTGTCCCTTCACTCCTCCCTGAGCTCTCCCTTTGCTTTGCAGCCCACCACCCCATCTCCAGGCTGTCACACTCTGAGCCATCATCCTCCACCCCCTCTCCAGCCCTCAGCCTCGAGAGCATCGACTCTGAGAGTTCAGCCAAGGTGCTGGGAGACACCGAAGAGGCCTCAGTGCCCAAAAGCTCCTCCGAGCCCACTGTGCACATGCCAGCCGCCGCCAAGAGTTCCAGCGCTGAGGCACCGCTGGCCAGCGTCTCCTCCGGGGAAAGCCCTGCTGTCCCAGCCAGCCTCTCCACCAGCTCCCCCTTCTCCTCCTCCAGCGAGCTGGCCAGCCTCAGTGGGGAGACGCAGCCCAGCACCCTGCACAGCAGCAGGAGCATCTCCGCTGGCAGCCTAAAGACCAGCCCCAGCCGGCTGCCCCCCAAGCCTCCAGCTGGGGCTAGCCCTACACCCATCCTCTTGGCTTCAGATGGGGGTGCTGGGAGCCCCAAGACATCTTCCTCACCCAAACCACAGCTGAAGGTGAGATGATGACCTTCTCCCCATCCAGATCACAAGGCTTTTCTTCCCCATCCATCACTCGGTCACAGGGGATCTGTGGGGCCGGGCTTGCCCCTTTGCTTGATGTGTCACCCCCTGAATGCAAGCTTCAGATCTGTGTTAAATGGTGGCTCTGCTTGTACTCTGCCTATCCCATGTGCTAGAGAAGAGGCAGAATGTCATGTAGTCTGAGCAAATAGGAAGGAAAATATTTCAGCATGCTTGTGAGAGAGAGGCTGGGAAACTGATGTCAAACAGGAGCACAGCTATTTTTTTGAGTAGGTGCTTGTGGAGATGAGTGCTGTGTTCCTCCTTTAGGAGGCTGTGGGGCAGGACAAATGCTAGCACTGCCCTGTCTGCTCATTCCCACCTCTTGGGATCCCTTCCCTTCCCTGGATGCTCATGTATCTGCTTTTGTCTGCCCTCTCCAGTCTTCCTGCAAAGAGAACCCCTTCAATCGGAAGCCATCGCCTGCTGCCTCCCCCTCAGCAAAGAAACCTTCCAAGGGCTCCAAGCCTGTGCGTCCTCCTGCGCCAGGCCACGGCTTCCCACTGATCAAACGCAAGGTAAAAGGGCCCTGGGGAGCGAGGAGGGAAAAGCTGGCTCTGTGCTATCCGCCAGGGCTGCAGCAGTCTGCAGGCACCCTGCTGAGGCATGTGTGGGCCGGGATTACAGCAGGTGGCTGGGGCTGGGGAGGAGGGTACACCTTGTTCATGAAAGCACCATCATCTTCCTTTGCTCCAGAGCAGGGTGGGGATTTCAGATCCACACTTGGATGGAATATTCTGTTGTCCCTCTGCCCTTGCTAGTGTTGACCAACCTCTGGATTACCCCTGGAAACTGGAGTCTGGTGGTAATGAAAGTGTCTGATTTATGGTTTGGCAGGTGCAGACAGATCAGTACATCCCTGAGGAAGACATCTATGGAGAGATGGATGCCATTGAGCATCAGCTGGATGAGCTGGAGCACCGTGGGGTGGCCTTGGAGGAAAAACTGCGCAGTGCTGAGAATGGTATGTGGGTTGGGCTGTCTGTGGGTGTGGGGCAGGAGAGATCCTAGGGCTGCCCTCTCTCCAGTCGAGGAAATAGCAACAGTGACTTCTTCCCTGCTGATGCTGGGGTTGAAAGAGCACAAGAGGCTGTGCTGGCCTCCAGGATTGGTCACAACCTTACCCTGAACATGGAGATGTCCCTAGAATGGAAACAGGTAGGAGAAGAGATAGGGTCTCTCTGGGCCTCAGAAATACGCTGAGGTTGGGTTGGCTCCAGCCCAGTGCCTCTTCCCTGTCTAGGCAGAGCCCAGCCTGTTGCAGGGTGATGGGATTCACCAGGGCTGGGAATGGCTCTGAACTGCTCTTTTGCTTGGCAGACAACCCTGAGGACAACCTGCTTGTGGACTGGTTCAAACTCATCCATGAGAAGCACATGCTGGTGCGCCACGAGTCAGAGCTCATCTACATGTAAGTGTGTGCAGGCATGTGGAGAGGCACTGACACTCCCTTGGGGAGCCCTTTCTCAGCCCTCCTGAAATGGTGCTTCCAGGGGAGATCCTGACCTGGCCTTGCCTAAAAAGGGAGGGAGTAAGGGCAAGCAAATCTGTCCAGATGTGCTGAGACCTGACCCACAGTGTGTCACCAGAGCCTCTGCAGCAGCTACCCCTGGAAGACCTTGAGCAGTCAGGGCTGGTCCTTACTGGTCCTTGGTTCCCTGGCTATACAGAACAAGATCAGCATCTTGATGGTTCTTTCGAAGCTCACCCTGTATGTTGGGATGATGTTCCACCTCTCTGGAGCCTTGCAGCGCTTCCCAACATTTCCCCTTTCCTTTGCAGCTTCAAGCAGCAGAACCTGGAGCAGCGGCAGTCAGACGTGGAGTATGAGCTGCGGTGCCTCCTCAACAAGCCAGGTAAAGCTTAAAGCACATACTCTGGGTGTGCTTGCCCCTTTTTCATAGAATCATAGACTATATTGAGTTGGAAGGGACCCACAAGGATCATTTTCCCCCTGGGCATCATCTTCCCTCTCTCTAGGTGGATCTCAGGTGAAGAGAGGCAGATCTGTAGGGATGCCAGTGAAATCAGCTGTCTCTAGATGCTCTGTCCCATCTCAATATATATCCCAGTCTTGTGCAGGGATGTGCTCTTGTTGTCCCCAGGGAATGCTACATGCTCTGTCCCCATAGCACTGCTAGCCCAACTGGCCCCTGTAACATGGCAGGGTAGAGGGGATTGTGCTGAGATCTGTGCCCCAAAGCCCTGAATTTCAGTGCTCCTTCAGCCATGTAACTGCCTGTCCTTCCCTGGGGTTTGGCTGGGTAGAGAAGGACTGGACTGATGAGGACCGAGGGAGGGAGAAGGTGCTGATGCAGGAGCTGGTGACCATCATTGAGCAGAGGAATGCCATTGTGAACTGCCTGGATGAGGACCGGCAGAGGTGAGTGAGGAATGGGGTGAGCTGGGGGAGAGGGGAGAAGCACAGCCTGTCTGATTCAGTGCCACATGAGTGCTGCCTTGTGGGGGTGTCTCAAGATGTCCATGCTGCTCATGTCCTTCCCAGGCTTCCCAATCCTTGTCTCTTTGAATGCTTTGTGTGGGAAAGACAGGACAGCACGTGCAGCCTGTGGGATTTATCCTGCTGGTTGCAAATGCTCACAAGACAGTGACGGATCTGCCCCTCTATGGCTTCTAAGTAGGAAGCTCTCTAGCCTTAAACAATACAGCAGCTGTTTTCAGGGCTGAATTCCTGACCTCTTTCCCATTCTTTCTTTCAGAGAAGAGGAGGAGGATAAAATGTTGGAAGCCATGATTAAAAGGAAAGGTAAGAAACAAATGGAAAGCTTTTTGGAGTGATGTTTTCACTGCTGACCCCAGTAAGGGGCAGCACGAGCCATTTGTGACACTGCGTGCAGGAGAGATTGAATCTATTCTGTGTAGATTGGAGAGACTTTCCTGTAGGGCCAGTAAAGTTAGAGGCTCAGTTGTGCTGCACACCTCTGTTATCAGAGAAAGTGTGCATGCAGTGGAGGGCTTTGATTCATGGCTGTCACCCTTGCTTATTGTCATGAGTGTGTCTGTACAACTGTTGACGTCCCACAGTAACAACCTCCCTTTGCAACCCCAGAATTTCACAAGGAGACGGAGACAGAGAGCAAGAAGAAAGGCAAATTCAAGCCCATGAAGGTGCTTAAGCTGCTGGGCAACAAGCACGACTCCAAGAGCAAGTCACCCAAGGAGAAAAGCTAGAGCAGGGGAACACCAGCAGCTGGGAGGGAACCCCGACTTGCCTCTCCCTGGCCCTGGCTCGCCTCTCCCCCTGCTCCCTCCCCAGGCACCCGAGCTGCTGCCCCAGGGAGATGCCAGCCCTCAGCCCAGGGCGGGTGAGAATGACCAAAGCCCTCCCCTTCCCAGGCTGTAGGGGAGCATGGCCATACCCTCTGTGAAGCCTTGTTAACAAAGTGGGGAGAAGACGGATTTGCTTTTCAGATACGTTACCCAATTGTGTGCTCCTGTCAATAACTGAGATCAAGCAGAGGAGTTTCGTATTTGAGGGTAAATTTGCACTAACTGCACCCCGTCCCTTTTCCCGCTCTAACTGTGACAGTTCCACGTGCCTCTGACTTCTGCCAGGAGGGGACTGGGCCTCCCTGTCCCTCCCTGCCTGACCATTCTTGTCCCTTTTCTGTTCCATTTTTAACTTCAGGAAAAAACTGACATTAGAATCAGGATCCTTTGGGTTTTACTGGCCTAAACTAAAAGGTTAAGAAAATACTCCTGCATCACAAGGCTTTAGAGCCATAGCCAAAAAAACAACTGGTGCCCTATTTATTTGGAGCCATCCCCTCCCTTGAGTGCCAGGGTGGGTGGCTCTGTCCCAAGGCTGAGAGGACCCAAGGGGACGGTGTACAGCTGCTACGATGTAGCTCACGTGCCCTACTCAGGAACCCCACTGCTGCTAAACACTGCTGACTCTGCTGCCTTCCTGGGGAGGGAGGACCTGTTCCTTTTCCAGGCAAGGGCAGAAAAGCTCAAGACAGACTGAGTGCTGGTGAGGGGCACCAAGCTTGTGTCCCTGCTCACCAGTGCCACCCTTGAGCAGCAGGGGAGAGAGGCGCGGTCACAACTGACCTTTACCCAGCTTCAGCTGTGTATACTTTAAAAGTGTGCAGATGTGGCTGGTTGTTTTTTACACCTCCTTTACTAGATGAATTCAAACCTATCCTAAAACTTTAAACCTCTTATTTTATTTGTCGTGTGTGTGCGTGTGTGTACATCAGAGGAGGGAATGTGGGGGGCAGTGTTCTTCCAACCATCCCTTCTTCCTTCCATTTTTGTTTCTTGCCTTCACTTCCAAGATGATAAGTTATTTATTGAATTATTGGATCAGTCTCAATGAGAGTTTAATGGGTGTTTGGTTGGTCAGCTGTTCATCATGCCTTCTCATTAGCAAATTAGACATAACCAGCCCTGAGCCATCTGCTGCAGTCTCTTCTAAAAACCCAACAGGCTTTAGCCAAAATGCTCTTGGAGCAGTGCCTTGCAAGGTGGCTGGTGTAGCATTCTGGAGAGGGATCCTCATTTCCCAAAATCAGAGGGACCTGAGCCCCTCCTCAATCCCAGCATGCCCCCATGGCTGGGAGCTGGCCAGTTCAGCCCTGTGCTGGCAATGCCATCTCACCCTTGCCATACCCAGCAGGCTGATGAGGAACAGTGGTAGGGGAGGGGAGATCCCAAAGCACAACTCTTCTCCAAGGAGAAACAAATCTGCTTTAGAGCCTGCTGTCACATCACTGTTGCCAAAGGCCACTGGGATCACTGCAGCCTGACACCCCTTGGCCCTGTGCCCAGTCAGAAGTTTGATTTGTAAATTATACTGTACTAACCCCATGACTTCCATTCACCTGAACAGAAATAAAAGAAACATTGGATTAAAAAAATGATTGTGGATTAGGTGTCTGATTCCTTTGTGCACTCGTGCTGTCCCAGGGCCAAGGCATGCTGCCTGGCTTTGGAAAGTGACTGAGTATTGCTAAGAAGCAGAGGATGAGATCTTAAGGAAATTGGAAACTGGAGGTTATGCTGGGATTTCCACAGGAAAAGTTGGACATCATGCTTCAGCCTGCTGGAGGACAGAGGGGTGGGTATTTATGAGGTGAGCAAACAACCATTTCCAGTCTCTGTGGGAATAGAGTGGCTATTCTGCATATCATGCTTTCAGCAACCAAAAAAATCACAGCAAAGAGCAGCAGGCACTAGGGTGAAATGCCCTGTCCCTGCTTGGCACAGCTGTGTTCTGAGCCCCTGCCCAGTGGGCTGCCACCAGAGGTTTGCTGACGCTGCAGGTCACAGTCACAGTGACATGCAGCAATGCCAAGGGCTTGTGATTGCACAAGGCTGTGCAGCTGCATTTCCTCCAGAGGCATTCCCAGAGTCACAGGGCCAGGAGCCAGCAGGTTACAGGTGTGCTGGCAGTGTGTGTTACCATCATGCTGTCACAAGAAACCTCCATCTCTGGGTAGATGGGTAGGAATAACATTTCTATGGATGGATTGCTCTACTCTGAGGCACTGCAGAAGAAAAAGAAGGCCCTGCTTTGTCATGTTTTGGGAGCCATTGCTCTGTGTTTTCATGTCTTTAATATTATTGAGCAAGAAGGGATCCAGTGTGTGGGAAGGATTTTACAACTTCTGTCGCTGTGTATGTACAAATTGGTCCTGCCTTCTAGTTTCAGGCAACAGATGGTGCTGCCCCCTCTTTGGAAACAGACAGGGACCAGCCTCCGATGCCCAGTCTGGGAAGAATAGGTGGGAACAAATTGCACCTGTGTTTTGCCCTTGGCTTAGTCTTGGAGACTGGATTTGTTCCCGACAGGGAAGGCTTTTGTCATATTTCTCATTTCCTCACTTCTTTTCTTGTCAATGATCTCCATCTCATGCAATTTCTGCAAAGTAGAAAGGGGGAGAGCTGAGCAGGGAGAAAGCCATCAGCTTTTTTTTTTTTCTCTTGCCAATCTCAAGAATAAAAACTCTGTTTGCCTGATTAAGTTAAATGCAGAAATGGAAAGAAAGCTGGAAAACAGCTATCCACCATTCCCCAAATTCATGCCTGAGCTGTGCCATGAAGGGAAGCAGCTCTTTGCCCCCTTCCCTGCTCAGATACTGGAAAAGACACTGCTTTATGATCCCTGACACACAGGATTCCCTCCATGCACTGTTCAGCCAAGGCCCTTGCATACCTGTGAGATTTCAGTGAGGACGATCCCTTGATACTTCTTGCCCTGTCCTAGAGCTTCCATCTCTGCCAGGAATTCCCTCCTCTCTTGAATTTCATTCATCACTGGTGGATAAGAGAAAAAACTGTGGGCACAGCATCCAGCCAAAAGGCAAGAAACCATGTTTCTGTCTAGATCTGAACCCCCAATTTCCTGGTTCTGCTTGAACAGCAGTCCCATCAAGGCAGGGTGATATCTGCTGTAACACTCACCTTGCACAACATGTCATCACAATACCTCAGCAGTCCCTTACATACTGGGAAATGTTCCCTCTGCCCAACTTCTTACCACTCCCTGACTCCCAGGAACACTAGTTTTGTAGTTTTCTTTATGTAGACAATTCTCTTTTCCTTGTGGGTAATTTAACCAGTCTGTGGATGGAGACAGAACCTGCTGGTGAGGTTCATTAGTTGATATGCATCACCCAGTGACTGCAACCATCCAAGACCAGGCATGGATCATCAGCTACTGCTTTGCAGCACAAACCTGCAGCCAGCTGATCCAAATCCTGTCACAGATGTGTCAAGGACAACATTCAGCCTGTGACAAGTGTTGGAGGCTACCAAACACGTGTAAACTCAGCTGCCCTGGCTCCCTGTAGCACGGCATACCCCTTCTGTACACATAATTCTAGCAATGCCCATCTTTGTGCTGCCCTGGCTGGCAAAGGGCTGGCAGGGCTGTACACAGACACTGAAGATTCAAGCACAGAGAGGTATTAGGCAGGGTTTTGCTATCCCAGTATACACTGCAGGCCAAAGTCTTTCATTGCTTCAAATTCTGCTCAATATTCAGGTTTTGCTAGTATAACAGCTGTGATCCTGGAGTGGAACAGCCCAAACTGTGGTCAGGCTAACAAGTGATCTGGTCTGTGTTGAGTCATGCTTGCTGGGAAAAGGACCAGCAGTACCTGAGCATGCTTCCCAGGTATCCCTGCACATCCCATGGCCATTCCACTGCCAGCAGGGTGCATTTTGTGTGGGCAGCCCAGAGAGCCATCTGCCAGCAAACCTGAGCAGTATAAGCTCTGTGAGGATGGCTGGATCAGAGTGTCACAGCACCGAGTCCTTTCTCTTGGAAACTGGCCTTTGTGGCTCCTCCTGCCATGGCTTCAGGTTACTGGCAACACAGCCTGCCACCCCAGCCCTAGGAGGGAGCTGGCTTCCCAGGAGGCTGCCTGCCACCCCAGCCCCAGGAGGGAGCTGGCTTCCCAGGCTTTCTGGCTGCCTCTCTCCTGGGGATGTGCACACGTACACTCCTCAAACCGGTCAGGCTCAGCTATCTCCTCTTCCTTTTTCTGAACAAACACCTGCTCCACCTTGTCCTCCACCTCCTCCTTCCCTAATGCTAAGATCTTCTGAAGTCGTCTCTTCTCCTTTTCCAAATCTCCTGTGAATGCCAAAGGAAAAAAACATTATTATCAGCATGTCTCCTCATGGAGGAGCCTGACCACACTGCTTCCCTGCTAAGTGTGCCAGAGGAAGTGTTTCATTAATGTCAGTCCGTCCCTGGCCTGTGTGCAAGCACCTTGTACACAGGTGTACAGAGCCCACCAAACCAACACCAGAGGTGTGGTTCACATTTATGTGCTAGAAAATGATGTAGTGCTCCATTCTTACTCAAGGACTGTGCAGGTCCCTATCACCTGTCACCCCAAGCTGGCAGGCAGCAGTCAGCGAGCAGCACTTGCAGCAGATGTTCCCTCAGAGATCCATTTCTGAAGCGTCTGTGCAGACTGAGGGCGTGAGGATGTGGAGCAATTCGGATACACTGCCACTGCTGGGATTGAGGCAGGCGAGGGACAGAAGGGGAAGAGAGGCTCCAGGCATCACCGTGCATTTGTTAGCAATGTTTGCTGACTCACTTGTGGGCTGTGGCTTGAATTTCTCTCGGCTGTAGGCATCTCCTGCCTGGCAGACCTTGGCAGGTCGGAGAAGTGGTCTAGCTGGAAGCCTGCCTGGCTGACAGGCTGCTGCGTGGGGAACGGGCACTGGCTGTTGGCTGGATGGGGGGAATCTCTGAAGGGGCAGGGCATCTCCGCCTGGGGGACGAACCAAAAATAACAGCAAATCAGGCAGAGGGGACTCTGAATGGATGGCTCCGGGCCATTGCCAGCAGATCTACCTGTTCATCACAAACGAAGACCCCAGTGCCCCAGATGTCTCACCCTGGTCATTGGGCACGGCAGACTGCGGTTCAAGTCACACCGTGTCGCCTTGTTTGCTGGCTGACCCGTGGGGACAGCTCACCCCGTTTGTCCCCATGTGTCAGCAGCTGCTGTGCTGCTGCTTTAAAGCACTCGCCCATCCGAGCAGGCTGTGGGCGAATGCCGAGATGCTAAAGCTCCTCCCCAGAGCCCAGCAGCGGGCAGGAGAGCCAGGGGGCCTCACTCACGTGTCACATACGCCATCAGGTATCGCTTCTGGGAATGCGTCATCTGCAACTCCTCCATCATCCCTGAAAAACACAACGTGCCGATGCAGAGGCACCCGAGCCGGGCTGGGGAGCCCGCCCGAGGGTCACCTCCCCTCACAACCCCAGCCCGAAGGGGAAGATGCGGGTTTGGGAGATTCCAGGCGGGGCGGGACCGCGGTGGGACGCTCGGCCTCGGGGCGAGGCACGGTGCGCGGGACCCCGGCGTCCCGAGCAGCTGAGCCCGGCCCCGGCCCGCTCCGCCGTTACCTCTCACTAACTCCCGCGTGCCTGTGCTGTACCGGGCCGGCCTGCCCGCCGCCGAGACCCCGCCGCGGCCCGGGATCCCCGCCGCCTCCATCGCGACGGCGGCGACCGGGCGGGCCGGGGGCGCGGGCCGGGGGAAGCGGCGGCGGTCGCCACGGCAACGGCGCAGGACCAGTTCCGGTGGCGTCACGGCAACGGCCGGAAGTTGCTGCAGGAAGTGCCGGTCAGGAGGCGCCGCCGGGCAACAATGTCCGACAACGAGGACAAGTGAGAGAGAGCGAGAGAGGGAGAGAGGGAGAGAGAGGGAGGGAGAGGGAGGGAGGGGGGCGGCCGAGGGCAGGCAGGGAGGGAAGGCGGCGGCGTGCGGCGCCCCGAGGCGGGTGGGGGCGATCCGGCCACAGGTGCGACGCGTGTGTCTCTCCCGCAGCTTTGACGGGGATGACTTCGATGATGTGGAGGAGGATGAGGGCCTGGAGGACCTGGAGAACGCGGAGGAGGTGGGTGCCCCGTGCGCAGCCTGGCCGGGCGGCTGCTGGGGCTGCGGAGGCCTCAGTGGCGGCTGAGCAGCGGCGCGGGTCTGTTTCCACCAGGAGGGACAGGAGAACGTGGAGATTCTGCCCTCGGGAGAGCGGCAGCAGGCAAACCAGAAGCGCATCACGACCCCCTACATGACCAAGTACGAGCGAGCCAGAGTCCTGGGCACTCGTGCCCTGCAGATAGCGTGAGTATTGGCCGCTGTGCCCCAGCCTTGCTGCAGCCGTGCCTCCCTTTACACTGATTAGTGCTTCCCTCTTCCCTTAGAAACTCCCGGGTCTTCTGAATGCTTTGCATGACTGCTGAGCTTGTGTGTCACCTCCTGGTCAGCCTGAACCGACTCTATTGCACCTGAAGTCTGTGTGTCTCTCCTTGCCTGAAACTGTGCTACTTGTGCATAAAGAGGCAGCTTTTAGTAGCCACAATGAGTTTTCCTAGATCACAGACAAAATTAGGGAATGAGACAAGACAGTTCTGGTTTCTGTCTTTCCTAAGAGAGCCAGCATGGACTTGGATGTTCATAACTGGTTTGTGAAAGGTAATGTTGGAGGGAGAGATGCTTCAAATCAGCTTTAGTTGATACCAGAGGGCTGTAGGAATTGGGAGTGAAGAAACCAACCTGAAATTCATTCTAAATGCAGTTGCACTGTGGGAAGCTATAAGTTTTAAAAAGTATTTGCAATAATAAGGCCTTATTTTTGCTAGACAATAACATTTTGAACTTACTTTAAGTGCTGTCAAGGCTGGCTGCTCTTAATTCATTTGCCTTTTTGGACTTGTTTTAATAATAAATATTAAAAAGTATTGTGCTTTTTGAAAAACTACCTTCTGAGAGAGATTGTTAGACAGTGGCAAGGGTTTGAGTTTCGTCTTGGTTAAATCCATTTTCATAATGAGGCTTCTCTTGTGCATCATTTAGAAGCTCACAGGCAGGCAAGCTGTTCTTTGCACAGCCTGTGAAGATGTTTTGTGCATGTTCTTTCAGCTGGTGAGAGACAAGAAAAATGGGGGTGATGAGAGGGGCCCGTGCCAGGCCTCTGATCCAAAACATTCTGGTTCTGCCTCACTTGCATCTTCTACTTCCAGTGCTGAAGCCAGGCCAGCAGCAGCTCCCATGGCCTCACCCACACACAGTGTGAGCTTTCTGTGCCACCACTGTCCACTGGGTGGGTGTAGTCACAATCCTTGGCAAAATGCTGAATTCTTTTTTCTGAGAGGTAAAATGCTCTGTAAATCCAGCCCCTCTCTTCCCCTGATCAAGGCCTGGAAGAATGAGCAAGTCAGAATGTAAGAGATGTGTTGGAGTTGTAGGAGGCCTGCTTATTTTACAGCAGTTGCACCCTTTTCATTGGATTAATGTAGAACCATTCTTTTTTGCATGTTTAAGTACAGCAGAGGGTGACCAGGAGAGTGTGGATGTGACCAGTCCTTGAGCACCAGCTGGTTAGCAGAGCCCTAGGGATGGGACAAGAAGAGCATTGAAGTAAAAGTTTGGTCTGTAACCATCTGGGGGAATTTTCTTCTTGAAGTGCACAACAGAGCAAATCAGTTTTGCCAGGGTGGTGTCCCACCCTCCTGCTTTGCTGGCTGTTGCAGAGGTGACACAGGTAGGCAGGTGGTGAGCTCTTCCCCCTCTGTGTGTTTGCTCAAGTGGCTGTTGATGTTTTTCCTAGGATGTGTGCCCCTGTGATGGTGGAGCTGGAAGGAGAGACAGACCCCTTGCTCATTGCCATGAAAGAGCTCAAGTAAGTCACAGATTTTGTACTGATTTCCCTAAAGCCAGCAGCCCCCTCCTCATCCCAGCATTTAGCAGTTTGTTCTAACACAGCCTTGTTTTCCCTCAATAACACTGAGCACTACAGTTGCCTTTTCCTTTTTTCACCTTGGAGTTTCTCCACAGCTGCTCTCTCCCAAACTAATTGCTCCTGCAAGTGCTGATGATTAGGAGTGCTCTGGACCTCTTCTACTTCTCATTCCCAGTATTCTTTGTTTCTACGATGGGATCCCAAGGTCCTCCTCTTTCAGAAATTGATTTAATTCCCCAAATGGAATTGTTTCAAAGCAGCCATCTGAACACACCTGTGTTCAAATGAAGTGCTGGCAAAAATTAAAATAAGGGTCAGGCTGGTAAGAATGTTTGTTTCCTGCACCCTTGCATGCTTGGCTTCTTGTGCTTTCCCCTGCTTACAGAAAGGTAAGTCCTTTCTGACAGCAGCAGAGGCAGCTTTTGGATGAGCACTTGCAGACCCACCTTTCCACAGCAGAGCTCCCTGCTGTCCCACAGTTTTCCTGCACAGTCCAGGTCACATGCAGATATCCTTCAAGCAGCTGGACTCTATTACTGATTAAGTCCCTGTCTTTGAACAAAATTGTCCCCCTGCTTCCCCGGTTTCTCAGTGCACAGAAGCTGCTCTTGCAGATTTTTTATCTGTGACAGCTGCCTTTGCCATTGCTGAAAGCTATTTAGGGGATATTCCTGTCAGATCTCCAGGCTCAGACTGAATTGCTTCTGGTCACTGCCTGTGTGTGAGCTCTGGAAACTAAGTCAGGGTGGTGTGTCCTGTTCTGTGCCAAAATTCAGTTGTAGTTCTTGGCATCAGGGAGTTACTTTACTACTGGAAAAACAACCTCCCTGAATGTAAAGAAGTTGTGTTACTTTTCAAGTCTGATACAGTTAAAACCTGATTCCCTGGCTAGATTCCAGACTGTCTGATTATGCTTTGCTGACTTCAATCTACGTTCACGGAGTTAAATTGTATTCAGCATTTTATTGCTCTCTATTCAGAAGCACTGTGAGCAGGTGCTGTGCTCCACCCCAGCTGTAACAGGTTTTGGTACCCGAATAGTCACTGTTGCATGTATCCTTCTTAAAATGTAACTGATGCTCTCAGGGTGCAAATTTCTCTGTAAATACCAGTTTGCCCTGGAAGTTCTCAGAATTCTGCCACCTTTTTAGTATCTTGTGGGGAAAAACCTTCTGTCAAACAAAGAGTGGATTTGTTGTTCAGGTCCCTTGATTTATATTTTCCCCCTATATCAGGGTTAGGTGCTTGGTGTTGTCTCTTAGTGGGTTCAGACTGCCAGGCTCTATTCCTGCAGGAGCATCAGAGGTCTGAGAGTTCTTTGGTGTTTGTAGTCTGAGGGTGCTGAGTGCTTTGCATCTACAAATGAGGAAAGGTTGTTGGGACTTTGCTACATGATATCAAATCACTGGTGCTGCCCTCAGTTAAATCTGATGAGCCTTTTGAAGCCGCCAAGCCCCTCACTTCCATGGCCTACTGAAGTGATACAGTGCAGATTCTGACAATTCTGTTCATCTGTCTCTTCCCTTCAGAGCACGCAAGATCCCCATAATCATCCGTCGTTACCTTCCAGATGGGAGCTATGAAGACTGGGGTGTGGATGAGTTAATTATCACAGACTGATCAGATTCCAGCCATTGGTTTTGGTTTTGCATTTCCAGGGATGTTTCTAATTTTGGTTAGTGTTTGTGTAAATAAATTCTAGATCTCCCTATTTTAAATTAAATGTATTTGGGGTTTTTTGCCCTCTTATTTTCTCTTTGAGTCCTGTATGTCTGAGAGATTACTTTCTTAGCTGTCTCCACTGGTTTGGGTATTATTTTTTTCTCTGTGTGTCATGTACTATATTAGCAAGATTATGGAGCTAAGTGCAATGCTGTCTTTTCAGCTTTCTTGCACTGTTGAAGGCCTCATCTTTTAGCTAGGCCGAAGTCTGCAGTAACTCCCTCCTCTAGCACTGCTCCTCCCTCATTACAGGACTGATACCCAATTAAACTCCTGCTGTACAGAAATGCTCTGGCAGGTACTTTGGCTTCAGAAAGACTCCAGCCTTCCACCACTGTCCCTTCTTAAAGAGGGAGTGCTGAGACACCTCCATTGCTTCCCCCTAGACAGTTGGGCCTTTGTGCCCTGAACAGGTTGCTGTGGAAACCCCCAATTTCCTCTTTGGCCAGTGCTGGCTGTGGGGCTTCTCAGGAGTATCGTAGAGCAGCTCTCATCAAGCCACCTATTGTTTCCCTGCTCCCTTGCTGCTTATCAGAAGTGGGGATCCCCTTTCAGTGGCACTGCCCCAGCCGGAAGCGTGGCCGCCCCTCGCTGTCCCAGCAGCTCGGCAGGTGTGGGTTGTTGTTGCACTTGCTCCTGGTACAGCTGTTCTCTGACACAGTGGAACTGAGGTCCTGGGGATGGACAAGCCATCTCAGGACTGGTGATTCTTACAGTGGCACAACTGCAGCTAAATCCTAGAGTTCCTTTGATCTGTATTGTGGTGAAAGATCAGTCATCTGTCCCCTTCAGGTACCTGCACTCTCACCTCTGGTGTGCTGGGAGGTAATGTGCTCAAGTCAGGAGTTGGGTGGATGCCTTACAATCTGCAAAGGCTTCCAGCCAACTGCAGGTTTTCATCAGTTCACCTAGTTTTTGTTTCTTGATCTGTGTACTTCAAAGTTCTTTCTCTGCATGTGGAAGATCCGAGCTTGGGCAGAACACACCAAATCTTTCTCAATTATCTTACTAAAAAGAACTGTCAGAGGTTTTGGTTTCTATTTTTA